ACAAACATAACAAACATATGACTAACGAAACTGGAAACTCAGTGAATTTCAAAAAACCTGTTTCTGCTACAACAACAAAAAAACCTGCTAATAAATCTAAAAAGACAAACAAAGGCAGTAAATCTAGTGCTGCTACGAAATCAAACAAATTTGACTCATCACAGAATACGAACTCCGAAGAGTTATCAAAAACAAATAACAACAATAACAATTTGGCAGACACCAACGACTTGCTACTACCTGCACCACCGAATGATTCGCCCGGTAACGCTACCAACATAAACGATGCAAACAAGCCCGCGCAGAATACGACTACCGAAGTGTTATCAGCACAGAATATGAACACCGATGAGTTATCAAAAACAAACAACAATAATAATCTGGCAGACACTAATGACTTGCTACTACCTGCACCACCGAATGATTCGCCCGGTATCGCTTCCAACATAAACGATGCAAACAAGCCCGCGCAGAATACGAATACCGAAGTGTCATCAGCACAGAATGCGAATACCGAAGAGTTACCAAAAACAAACAACAACGATAATAACATAAACGATGCAAACACCCCCACGGATGCTAATGTCGCTGCTTATGCTAATCGGGTTTCTGCCCCAGTGAATGCTTCTAAAGTTACAAAATCAACTGTATACAAACCCAGGAATCCGTCCACTATTGTTGTTGGAAGTAACTTTAATGTAAATCTTGACTTAGCCGTTCGTCTGAAATGGTTACATCTGTCGTCCTTTAAGCCGTCTGTTAATGCTAGCGATATTATCGACTTTGTGTCGAGAACAACAAACATTTCTCCATCTTTTTTTCACTGCCATAAACTTATTAAGAAGGGCATAGATCCATCATCGTTAGTAAGATGCAATTTTAAACTTGGGATCTCGCCTACTATTTATAGCAAGTTGCTTGACCCATCTATATGGCCATCGGATATCAAAGTTAAACCCTTCCGTTTTTTTTTCACAAGGGAAAGGGGGCAAAGGGCAATCAGTAGCTAAACA